CTAAAAACCTTTGCAATATGGATGTTTTTAGATTTGGTGAATGTATAAGCATTAATTTCTTGAAGATATTTTTGTACATGCCTAATTGAAAAATCTGTGTTCTTTATGAACAGGAGGCTTCTCAGCTGCTCCAGATTCTGCAGGCTCTCCAGCCACCTCTGTCTATTGATGGAAAAGCTATTGTGGTGGAATATGCCAAAGGCTCCAAGCGGTAAACACTCATTTACTCAAATTTGGCTATAAGAAACATGACAGTTGTTCATATTTTTACAGAAGTTAAAGGGGACAWATCATGCAAATTCCACTTGTTCACTSTAGGAGTTCAGAAAATTAGAATTTAATCTTTCTCATTGCTGCATAGATTTTTTTATATTCTGTTTGTGTCATATTTTTCAACCTTTTCAGTTTTCTTTATAACATTTTCTGCACTATTATGTTACTGTATTTGTGACAGAACGTCTAAATAAGGTCTGGATTTACTAAGTACTATGTCATCATCATTCTCTGGCTCTGGGTCCAACATGTAAGGCTGGCTGGACAAGTATTCTGTTGTTGACATCTTTTAAGTTACAATAGGGAGGAATTCAGACCAAAGCATTACAGTTCCACTTCTCATAGACCCCAACTAAATGATTTAAATGTGAAAAAGGAGGATTTGAAAGCATGGATATGTCCACTTTAAGATGTTGTTAATTAAAATTCAGCAGCCCTAAAATCAAAAATGACTTTTCTTGTTCTTGTTAGGGATGTGTTTGTGACGGACAGCAGCAGAGTGAGCGCTGCTACGGTGGCCAGCACAGCTATAGCTGCCGCACAATGGGCTGTCACTCAGGTAACTTGTCWGACTCAACCTAACATTGCAGCAAAACAGATGCTTAAAGAAATTTAAACTGTATGTGGATTTTTTTTTTGAGCATCCTTTTAAAATTACTTTTCTTCCCACAATTTTCAGAATGCTCAGAATGGATCAGGTGCAGTGCAGGGTGTTGATGCAGCAGTCTGTCAGCAGGGGGCAGCAGTAACCTACAGTCAGGAAGGACACAAGTATTCTGGACCAGACGGCATGACAGACTCCAGGGTTGCTGTCTTGCTGAGTGCAGGAACATCTCTAAATGGTGCATACCCAGGAGGAGGGACCACAGGTTCAGATCAATATGCAAATGATCATATAGATCATGATCTATACAGCTGAACTCATTTGTTTCTGATTGTTTGTTTGCTTGTTGACAGTGGTCACTTCTTCGGAGGCAGTAAAATCAGGTTTAGCAGCTGGGCAGCAGCTTCTCACTCATCCACAGGAGGGTCTTGTCACCCCAGCCTCCATCACACCAGCCACACAGGTACAACAATACTGTTTGCTTGCTACCTCTTAGTACTTTTATTAATTTATTTATTTTAATTTAAGTTCCATGCTGGATACTGTTGTATTGTTTTAAGAGCTCTGTCTTATTGCAGGTTGAGATAGTAGGGAAACCACAGCCAGCTTCTTCCAGTCAACCYGCCACTCCGGGTACTGAACATGAGCTAAAGCAGTACCGTAAGTGTATTCTCATATTTTTAATGATGGTAAATAAACAGTATGAGGTTGTCTGAAACTAAAAAGCTCACCATGATGTGAATTCTCCTTGCAGCTGTTCCAGATGTGTCTACATACCACTATGATGAAAGCTCTGGCTATTATTATGATCCYTTCACAGGACTCTACTATGATGCAAATTCTCAGGTGAACTATTTGTTGTTAAATGGATATTTGATTAGGCTGAAATTAAAGATGTATATTTTGTTTGTTATATTCTGGTTTTATGTATTTCTTCCMTGGACAGTATTATTACAACTCTCACAGTCAGCAGTACATGTACTGGGACGGAGAAAAGCACACTTACGTCCCTGCTGCCAGCCAGTCAAACCCTGAAGGTGCTCCAACGAAGGACGGTGCAGCCTCTTCAGACTCAGCAATGTCCACCACCGGAAGCAAGGAGAAAAAGGACAAACCAAAGAGTAAAACTGCTCAACAGGTACTTAGAGCTTTATAATAAATTAAAATACTGAAAAAACACACGGTGATCTGGCTTATCAGTATTTATTCGATTGATTTATTTAATTGTATTTCATGTGGTATTCGTTTAGATAGCCAAAGATATGGAGCGTTGGGCTAAGAGTCTCAACAGACAAAAGGAAAACATGCGGTCTGTTTCGTCGTCCCCTGCCATCAGCCTCTCTGGTAACACACGGCCTCCTGGCCACAGTTCCTTAGACGACTACAGAGAGTCTGCRAGTGCTGATGCAGGCTATGCAGTTCTGGAGAAAAAGGTGAGTGATCCTAGAAAAAAATACAAGTGTTAAGGCATCRTAGCAGCTTGAAAGACTGATCTACGAGAGTATGCTGATTTTTATTAACAAAAATGTTTTTTACAAACTTTTTTTYCCCCCCTCCTCGGTCCTGCAGGGTGCACTGTCTGAAAGGCCGCAGAGCTTTCTAGACCAGATCCGTCAAGGCACAGAGGTTAGGACAGATAATTGTTCCACCTTTCTAATCCCTTCTAGCAATAACACGTAGATGTGTTGTTTTTCCTTCTATCACATATTTTTTCTTTATCGCTTCCTGATTTGTCTTGTCACATGTCACAGTCKCCTCCTCGGCAGTCTGGTCTTGTCCCGGCCTACAGTGCAGAAACGGACAGTGAAGATGAAGGAGGCGACAAAGACGACAAGGAAGGGAAAATGACAGACTGGGCTAAACTTGCTTGTCTGCTGTGCAGAAGGCAGTTCCCAAGCAAAGAAGCTCTTATCAGGCACCAGCAGCTCTCTGAACTACATAAGGTGATTTCAAATGAGATTTTTTAAAATAAACACTTTCCAAATGGTAAAACATCACTTCTCTTCCAAWGATATGACATCATTATACATAGAAATAAAGGTTTGTTTACAGATTTTAAAGGTACACTGTTGGATTTATGTGAGCTGATGAACAGAAATTTAACTGAAAAAAGGATAATCATCCCGACAGTAAACTCACTCACTGAAATAGTCACTATGCAATACAAGAAATCAATTGTGATGAGCAGATGATTGTATTTTGAATGGACACACTGTGTACAAAGCAACATTAAACAAATTGTTCATTATTATTGACTTGTTTTTAATCTTACTWTGTTTTTCACCTCTTTATCTGTGATCTCAGCAAAACCTGGAGCAGAGAAAAGCTCAACTGGAAGCTCAGGTTAGTCAAGTGTCAAAATCTGAGTTGAACAACACTGTACTGTTTCTGTTCAATATAGTGTCAGTGCAATTTTGTTTTTAATTTAAACCTTGTGGTCTTTTATATTTTATACAGAGAACAGAAGATGGATCAGAACCTCCTGAAACTAAGAAGAGAAAGTTTAGCCCCATGTAAGCAGTGATGTTGAGAATATTTACCAAATTATCAAGTTTTAATTTAATCTTTTTCATGGTGTTGGTGTTACTTTTAGCTGGTTTTTCAACATTTTTTTTATTTTTTTTGTGTTTTCTCTGTAGTGATGGCATCACAGGCAGTAGTCTCGGTGCTAGAATGCTGCAAGGAGGCATGAAGAAAGGACTTTTGTTGCGCAACATGCAAGTGGAGTGATCACTTACCCATAAACTTCCTGACCCATAAAAAACAGTAACTTGCTTACAACTCTTTACTGTTGACATCTTTATGAAAATCTCCTAATTTTTGGGCAGATATTATAAATACCTCAACAGTGGTAAGGCTTGGTGGTGGTAATTCCATGGACTTTTCCTGTAGCAGTAGATATTGGAATATTGCACAAATTGCACATTTTTTGCTTGCTTTCTGAATGATGCAGTTTTCATCTAGCAAGCTTCTTTCTCTGTCGTAATCTGGTTTTGTGTGAGTTAGAAAAACATTTGTTCTTTTGAAATAAAAACGATCAATAATTTCAGCAAATGAGAATTTCTAATATTACTGTCTATGCACCATAGAATTTTAAGTTAACGCTGTATGCCTTGCCATTCAATGAATGGTTAATTTGGGCATAAACTGTGCATATTTTAGAATGAGCCGTTTTCTACTGCAGTTAAAAGTGTAACCTTTGGTAATGGGTAGGTCACATTCACTGATGATGTGTAGATGAGAAGTGTCCCATCAAATGGCAGATTGGAATTAACATTGTTATAGATATTTGTGTTTTGAAATTATTTTTTGTTCATGTATTTGTCAAACAATGTGACTGTTTCACCAAGCTGATGTAAATGAATTAAAAACACTTTCGTCTACTTTGAGGTCTTGTATGAAAATGCCTGTAAATAGTAGCCAATGCTTCAGCATTAAGTGTTTTTTTTTACATAATAAAAAATATTTTTCATGAGGCGCCATTAGGTTTGTATTACAATTAATATACTAATAAAGAATACAAATTATAAGTTAGTTTTAGAAAAGCTTAGTACCTGGTAGGACCTGTTTTTTTGTTTTGTTTTTTTGGATGGCCTCCCTTCTCCCCTTATAGC